CCCTCTTTCCTTCTCTCTTTTTATCCCCTCTTTCCTTCCTTCTTTCTTTCCTTCTTTCTCTCTCTCTACTCTCTCTCTTTCCTTCCCTCTTTCCTCCTTCTGTGGCCCAACTCTAGGGAGAAGGGGTTTAAACTTTAAACCCCTTCACTCTTTGCTCCACCCCGCAGTTTGCTCCCTTCACTCTTTGCTCCACCCCGCAGGCCATCACTTCCAGTGATGTCAGGGGGCGTGGCATATGCTAATAACCTAGTACCTCATTAGCATACCCTATGCTAATAAGCTCCTGCAGCTCTTTCTAGAAAAAGACCGCTGTATACACACACAGAGAGAATAATTCAAGAACGTCCTGCTTCCTTGCGTTCTGAAATGGTGCAGACCCCAAAGGATGCACTCTCTATAATTTTAATGAATGTCTAGCCCTAAGCTCTGTGGTACATGTGACATGGAATCACCTCCCAGGTCTTTGTGGTGAGCAAATGACCCAAACACGCTTACTGCAGGCAGAATTTCCCCCGCCCCCGAATGGAGGCAAATTTTCAGGAGGCAAGCCCAGAGCAGTGATTCATGCAGAGTGGCAACACGGAGCCTCCTCCTGTGCCTCTGCAGGGAGTGAACATTCCACAGTGAACTGCAGAGAAAAAAGGCAGAATTTCCTCCAGCCCCAGACGAAGATAGATTTTTAAGGAGGTGCGAGCAGGAAGTCATACAGAGATGCAGTAGGCAGCCTCCACGGGTGGCTCACCTGTTATCTAATTATCTTATTCCTGGTTGCAAATCCATAAACATACCACAGATAGATGCCGAGAGAGACCTTCCCTGCCTTAAGAACTTCTGTTAAAATTATTTAATAACAGAATTATTTTTTAAACGCCAAGCACTGAAGAAAAAAGGGGGCGGGGAGCTGAAAATGTGGGAAAGGGTGAGTCGGGTCTCTAAAGCCACTGGTCTCCCCCCCCCACAGCTCCATGGGGTGAAGAACTCACCTGATGATCGTATGCATGCCCCTGACCTGTGGGGTGTTCTTTAGCACACTGAGGGTCTTGGGGAGGGGGTGGCACTGATGAGCAGAAGCCAGGGCGGCCCTGGGGAACAGAAGGAGACCAAACCCAGGTTAAGAGTTCACTGACACCCCGCCGTTCCCCCACCACAACCGAGGAAAAGAAACCGAAGATCCCCAGGGGCGGCGGGATTTCCCATCCGAACAAACCACACAGATCATTGGTCATATTCAAAATATTCGATGGGCACAGCCAGGGCTTTTTTTCCGGAGGAACACGCCGGAACGGAGTCCCGTAACCTCTTCGACAAAATTCTTTTAAAAGTGTTTAAAAGTTCACGGGTTTTCAGCATACGGATCGAAAACTCCATTTCCTTGTTGAGAGTTCCGACACCTCTTTTAGAAAAAAGAAAAAAGCCCTGGGCACAGCGATGCCAAATCTGGATTCGCCGGAGATTTGGGGGTGGAGCCCAGGGAGGGCGTGGCTTGGGGTGGGGTCACAGGAGGACAGAATGCCATAGAACCACCCCCCCCTACAGCAGCCACGGCTCATGATCTGTAAGGCTATCCCAGCTCCAGGGCTCTTTTTGTAGAAAAAGCCCAGCAGGAACTCATTAGCATAATAGGCCACACCCAACCGCAGAAACTCATTAGCATATTAGGCCACACCCCTGACAGCACAGCTCATTAGCACATTAGGCCACACCCCCATGTTACCAGAAGTGTGGTCATCCAGCCACACCCACCTTTTGCTTGTTATTCTGTTTACCTTGTTTGTTGTCCAAACCAGGGCCTTTTTTGTAGCAGGAACTCCTTTGCATGTTAGGCCACACACCCCTTATGTAGCCAATCCTAATGAGTTTCTGCTGTTGGGCGTGGCCTATTATGCTAATGAGTTCCAGCTGGGCGTGGCCAACTTGGGAGCCAGCCGGAACTCCGTTCCTGTGCGTTCCTGCCCAAAAATAGCCCTGCCAGCCGCCATTTTAACGTTGGGAACTGCAGAGCCCGGAGCCTGAGGCAGTCAGATTCAAAGTCGAACGACAGAGTTCTGTCTCTCTCGTGGAGTGGGCTATGGGTTTGTGCGTGTGATGAAACAGGTCTCTTTCTAAAACAGGGCCGATCGAGATGGGCAGCCATGTTCGTCTGCCTGTAGCGGCAGAAAAGAGCGGGAGTCCAGGAACCCCAAAAAGACAGACGGAATTTGTGGCAGGGGAGGAGCGTTCGTGCGAGTCATGCCTCACTTCTTCAGATAAAAGAGGACAGGCAGCCACCGCCGCCCGGCCTCCCAAGCCTGGCGAAAGTTGACGGCCGCAAAGTTTTGGGATGAGTCACGTCTCGATGACGCGTTGGTTGAAAATTTTAAAAATCGCCCGGCCTTTCTCTTTTCATCAGGTCTCTGTGTGGTTGGTTGGGACGGACGGAGAGCTTGCGCGTCGACTTCCCTCTGCGCCCCGAATCACACGTGCAAGGAAACGCATTTGGGACGAGCAGACGGGGGAAGGTTAATAAGGCAGAAGCCGGCTTAGTATTCTACGCCTGTGGTTAAAAACACACACGAGAAAGAAAGAAAGAAAGAAAGAAAGAAAGAAAGAAAGAAAGAAAGAAAGAAAGAAAGAAAGAAAGAAAGAAAGAAAGAAAGAAAGAAAGAAAGAAAGAAACACAAGCAGATCAAAATAAAGTGGATTAGCCGGGAACTCACGCTGCCTTGCCTGAAAGCCCTAAGCCCACGGGAGAGCGACTTGAGCCGGATCTGGGCTTCATAAACTCATCAAGCCAGTCTGTTCTGCTGCCTGTCAGTCACGCTCCCTTCCCTCAATGTTGCCCCCCCAATTGGCCGTCAGACTCTAGAAATGAAGCTAACTCTCTCTGAATATTATACACACTTGTCCCCGCAGCTAACAAAGCAGCACATCGGGGAAGAGGTTTGGACGGAAACCTTCCTGCAATGCTATGAATCTACATGCAGAGTGGAGAAGTCAGGGTGTAGTCTGGGAAGGGGGGGAGGGACCCCAATTAAATTTTGCTGTCGTAACGGACCTGGAAATCCCAGGGCAGTCCGATCTTGGAAGCTAAGCACAGCAGGACCAGGTTAGTGCTACGCAGAGGCAGGCGACGGCAAACGACCTCTGTTTGTCGGCCTTGACTTTGATGGCCCGGGCTAGCCCAAACGCATCTGAGATCAGAAGCTAAGCAGCATTCGTTCTGGTTAGTACTTGGATGGGAGACCACCAAGAACTCCAGAGTCGCTATGCAGAGGCAGGCAGTCGTGAACGACCTCTATTCATCTGCCCTGACCCTGGACGGTTCAGGATAGCCCACTCTTGGCAGATCTCTGAAGCTAAGCAGGGTCAGACTGGTTACTACCTGGATGGGAGACCACCGAGGAAGTCCGGGGTTGCTGCGCAGAGGCAGGCGATGACCAAACCACCTCTGTTCGTCTGTCCTGACCTGGATGGCCCAGGCTAACCCCATCTCGTCAGATCTCGGAAGCTAAGCAGGCTCAGCCCAGGTTACTACCTGGATGGGAGACTACCGAGGAAGTCCGGGGTTGCTGCGCAGAGGCAGGCGATGACCAAACCACCTCTGTTCGTCTGTCCTGACCTGGATGGCCCAGGCTAACCCCATCTCGTCAGATCTCGGAAGCTAAGCAGGCTCAGCCCAGGTTACTACCTGGATGGGAGACTACCGAGGAAGTCCGGGGTTGCTGCGCAGAGGCAGACAAGGGCACCTCTGTTCGACTGTCCTGACCTGGATGGCCCAGACTAGCCTGATCTAATCAGATCTCAGAAGCTAAGCAGGGTCAGCCCTGGTTAGTACTTGGGTGGGAGGACCACCGAGGATGTCCAAGGGTCGCCATGCAGAGGCAGGCAGTGGCAAACCACCTCTGTTCATCTGCCCTGACCTGGATGTCCCTTGCCTTGAAATCCCTATGGGGTCAATCACAAGTGGGCTGCGACGTAACGGCACTTTCCGCCCCCACCTTATCTGTGGGGACTGTGCAAAAACAGGCGTCTGTTTTTGGATTGGGCCTGGCGTGCTTGCCGGATTCCTGCCCCCTCTGACCTACCCTTGCCTTGAAATCCCTATGGGGGTCAAATCACAAGTAGGCTGCGACTTCACGGCACTTTCCGCCCCTGCCTTATCTGTGGGGACTGTGCAAAAACAGGCGTCTGTTTTTGGATTGGGCCTGGCGTGCTTGCCGGATTCCTGCCCCCTCTGACCTAAACTCAGTTGACCTGGAATTCGCTCATGCCAGACAGCTCCGTGGCTGCAGTCGTCTGGGAGACGACAGCGCCTGATTCAGAGGCTGACGGCTGTTCTCTCAGACGGCATTTGAGTGAGCCCAGCAGATTCCCGTTCTGCTACGCAAACGGTCACCGTGAAGCGGAGTGCGGCCTGCAGACTTCTCCTACCCTTATTCATTTACTCCATTTCAGGCCCTGTCTTTGTCCCCACCGGGAACATCTCTCTCTTCTCCTCCATTTTAGAGAAGAAGAGAAGAGATTGGATTTATACCCTGCCCTTCACTACCCAAAGGAGCAGCTCACAAACTCCTTTCCCTTCCCCTCCCCACAACAGGAACCCTGTGAGGTGGGTGGGGCTGAGAGAGCTCTTTCGAGGACTGCCCTTGAGAGAACAGCTCTGAAAGAACTTGCGACTGACCCAAGGTCACACCAGCAGCTGCATGTGGAGGAGTGGGGGATCCAACCTGGTTCTCCCAGATTAGAGTCCATGCTCTTAACCGCTACACCAAACTGCCTCTCTTTTACCCTCACCCCAACCCTGGGAAGCGGGTGATGTGTGGGACTGACCCAAGTTCACCCAGCAAGCTTCCATGGCAGAGCAGGGATTCGGTCTCCTCAATACTTGACACTGACGGCCGCACCACCCTGGTCCCCTCCCCACGGTGAAGGAAACACGGCCTGCTCTACCTTGGGAGGTTTCTAACGTTAAAAACCAGATTTCCCAGGGTCCCCCCTGCCCTCCCCCCAAAGGGTCAGGGCGCAGCTGATGCCTTTTGGCGCCTCCTTTTTTCAAAAATACATCCAGACCCCTTTGTTACAGGTGAGAAAGGTGCCTCCAAACTGGCTGGGCGTATGCAAGAGACAGGTAAAGGATGGTCCTGTCCTGCTAACTTAGAAGCATCTTGTCCACTATGGCTCCAGCAGGCAGTTTTGGTCAGAAGAGCCCTGCCGCCAACCAGTTCCTCTGGAGGGCCAACAACAGGGCACAGAGGCCGAGGCCCTCATAAGAACATCAGGAGAGCCCTGCTGGATCAGACCAGTGGTCCATCTAGTCCAGCATCCTGTCTCACACAGTGGCCAACCAGTTCCTCTGGAGGACCAACAACAGGGCAGAGAGTCCGAAGCCTTCATAAGAACATCAGAAGAGCCCTGCTGGATCAGACCAGTGGTCCTTCTAGTCCGACATCCTGTCTCACACAGGGGCCAACCAGTTCCTCTGGAAGGCCAACAACAGAGCATAGAGGCCGAGGCCTTCATAAGAACATCACAAGAATCCTGCCGGATCAGACCAGTGCTCCATCCAGTCCAGCATCCCGTCTCACACAGTGGCCAACCCGCTCCTTAGGAGAGCCAACAACAGGGCAGAGAGGCCGAGGCCTTCATAAGAACCTAAGAAGAGCCCTGCTGGATAAGACTAGGGGTTCATCTAGTCCAGCCTCCCATCTCACACAGGGGCCACCCAGTTCCTCTGGAAGGCCAACAACAGAGCATAGAGGCCGAGGCCTTCATAAGAACCTAAGAAGAGCCCTGCTGGATAAGACTAGGGGTTCATCTAGTCCAGCCTCCCATCTCACACAGGGGCCACCCAGTTCCTCTGGAAGGCCAACAACAGAGCATAGAGGCCGAGGCCTTCATAAGAACCTAAGAAGAGCCCTGCTGGATAAGACTAGGGGTTCATCTAGTCCAGCTTCCCATCTCACACAGGGGCCACCCAGTTCCTCTGGAAGGCCAACAACAGGGCAGAGAGGCCGAGGCCTTCATAAGAACCTAAGAAGAGCCCTGCTGGATAAGACTAGGGGTTCATCTAGTCCAGCTTCCCATCTCCCACAGGGGCCAACCA